ATATTTTCCCCAAAATTCAAAACATGAATAAACACACTGGCTTTGAGACCAAGGAAACCTCAAACTTTGAAGATAAGTCAGGATCTTAGAGGTAATTCTGATGAATTCTGTGTCTTAACCTCTTGGGACTGCACTGGATCCTATTCTGCTTCTGATTCCTAAACTACCCAAAGAAGTTGCTAGTAAGTTTTTTTTTTTTTTTTTTACTTTTGCCTTGCAGAACAAATATCATTTGAAAGAAACTTAGCAAACAAAATAACACAATCCAGTGGAGTGCACTCAGGCATGGCAGAATTTAGTGGAAAAAGATCTGCTTCTGTATCTCTCCTCCCTGCGTGCGTGTGTGTGTGTGTCTTTGGAGTATCATACTTGTGCCATCTAACCCTTACTTAATTTCTGACAATAAGGGTGGGCTGGGTTATTTCTCACTGCTCTAACATTCTCCATGAGTGCCTACTAAAACTGCAGGTTACTAAGACAGGGTCCAGACATGTTGGCTCACAAGGGATCAAGGGGGAAATACAGTACAGCGACAACAGTGAATTTGTTGTGCTACTATTTAAGTATGTTACATGTGACCAAATATTTATGAATATATTATGAGTTGAAGCAGCAACAACTATGAGATGTAAGTTGGGTTTTCCTATTTGAATTCTGATAAAATTTAAGGGAAATTATTGAGAGGAAAAAAATGTCATATGTAAGGTGAGAAAAGTTAAGTATGACTAGAAAACTCTCTGTCTTACCCCACACTATTTAATAAAGAAACCTTCTTGTTTGTGCATTTATCTCTTACTTATCAGTATAAATGGAAGAAAAGTGCTCTGAATGATGCATTCAACCTCAAATAATGAGGGGCTCATCTATCCAATTGTTTTCCATGTACTGAATGTGCACATGATCTGACTTGCAAGTGGAAGCAAAGACCCTTGTATCACTGATATCCCTTAGATTTCATGCGCAGCATAAGTTCATGCACTGAATTTTTTCAATTCCATCATTTGAACTTTATGTGAAAACAACCCTAAAACATGTTTTACAAAGTACAAAATGGCATCTGTTGTTTTGATTTAGCATTTCTTTTTAAAATTAGTTTTAATTGTACAAAGGTACAGGTACAATATGATGATTTACTGCATGGCTATAATGTGTAAAGGTCCAATCAAGGTAGTTAGCATTTTGATCTTTAATCATGTCAAAAAGGAGTAGCAATAGTTCAAATTGGTATAGATACCACAAAAAAAGGAACAGAATTCTTCATATCTGGCAGAAAGAAACTGAAAGGTCATCTCCAATCTCAGTAGTCACTGCTCTGTATCTTCAGCAGCTTTACCTACTCTCTGACCGTTCTGGGAACTAAGCAGTCAGCAGGAGTTTTCGAACCATGAGAAACTTCCCTGCCCGTTCTCTCTTATGCTTCTGTGAAACACTCAGGTGCCAGCAGATTTAGCTACCCCAGCCCCACACTGGGTTCTGAATACTGTCAGAAAAGGGAAAGGTGCTCTCCTTAGTCGTCCTGTCCCTCTGGATGAGCTCCATTTTTAGTTTCCAGTGCATATGGTGAAATACCAGGTGTTGAATCAGTAATTTTGTGGAGCTACAGAAATTTCCTGTTTTAGTTTTAATTGAATTGGAAAAAAAATCGAAGCATGAACACGGCGGTGAGTCACACAGTGGTAAACCTGTCCCTCAGGACAGAAAGCTATTTTCAGGAATTAATATTAAAAAGAGCATGGAGAAATTCCACTGCATGCACATCTGCCCATGAAACGCAGGAAGAGAAATAAGTATAAGGGTGGCTCATTTATGGTAAACTAACATTGTATATTAAACTCGTATTTAGAGCTTTACACAGGGAAATTCCAAAAAAAGAACAATGAAACTAAACCTTTCTTTTCCCCCACATTTTCATTTGCAATGCTCTCCTTAGGTTACAGGTTCTGATATTTTAGCTGTTTTAACATTTCTCATTCTTGTTAATGCCTCTTCTCTCTCTTTTTCTCACTTTCTGTATTATATCTCATGGGAAATTCCTCTCCATACTGTCTTCTCTGGAAGTTATCTCTTAAATTCTCTTCTCTGGCTCAGTCTTATTCTATATTTAATGTGTACTATGCCTCAGTACTTTGCGATAAGCGGCAGACTCCTGAGCCCCCAAGTGCTGCCACTGAGGCAGTTCCAAGTCTTGGGAAGGTAACAGCAGTTCACACTGTGAATTCAGGAGGTATCTGCTGTGGCCATCACTGGAAATGCTGGTCCTCAAAAGAACTAAAATGAATTTTTAAGTTGATAGGTAGTTATTGTAGGTAGAACATAAGTCGGTGGCTACAAGGGTTTGACACAATTCCTTATTCTGAAATTCAATTGTACATTTTATAGCATACATAGCATAATTTATCTTGCCTTGTCTTTCATTGCTTAAGTCATAGCAACCATAATAATAGCATACTGGCACATGAGTAGATAAATACCTTGAAAGTTAGAAAAATATTAGATATTAAGCCTATGTGTGTAGTCTCTGTATCTCAAAGAAAATTGTAAGTAGGAACCACATCTGTCTTAATCACTACTTTCTCCATTGTCCTAGTGTAATACCTGCATCATATTACAGGATTGAGAAATGGCTCTTGACTGATTGAATGGCATTTTGTAACCATCTTTCTCCAGATTTCTGTGACTTCTCTATATTCCTCTGTAATATTATTTCCTCTTTGAGGCCATCTTTCATTTCTTGAGGCTGAGTTCTATTTTAGCAAGTTTTATAAAAGGTATGTGGATAATGGTAGATAAAAACAATGTACAATAGGAAAAAGAATAAAATGAATCACATAATATATTGCTGCTCTTTCACAGTATTTTTGTTTTTTTGTCATTAGACTGGCAGATTTGTACTCATGGCCAGCTTACCTGACTTTAATCCCCTGGAAGAAGCCCCTTCAGTTAGTCAGCTTTTCATCTCTGTGACCAACTAAATGACAGAGAGAGAGAGAGAGAGAGAGAGAGAGAGAGAGAGAGAAAGACAGGAAAAACAAAACTTTAAGGTTGAAGGGTTTAGCTTGGCTCACAGTTTAAAGGTTTCAGTTGATGAGTGGCTGGCTCCATTGCTAATAGGCCTGGGACAAAACAGAAACATAATGGCTGAAGCGTGTGGCAGAGGAAAGCTGTTCAATTCATAGTGTACAGTTTGGGGTGGGGAGAGAGAAAGGGAGAGAGGGCTCTTCACAATTGCTTTCTTCAACTAGGCCCCACCTCTGTTTTCCATCTCCTGTCGATAAAACCATTACATTGTGATCTTCTCAGTGCATCAGTACACTGATAAGTTTAAAAGCCATACGTTCCCATCAGTTCTCTAGGTCTTACTTCTTGGACCTGCTGCACTGCAGATCAAATCCTCTGCACATTAATCTTTGGGAGATCTTTCACATTAAAACATTACATCTCTTGATAATGTTGTTAGCTCCAGATGGTCATCCTCCAATTTTCCCCTCCACTTGCTTATACAGTATTTAAATCTTGTTCTCAGAAATGTATGCAAACACTCTTAAAATAATAGCCATAATTATTTATCACTTCCTTTTTTTAGTTTGCTGCCACAGGCTGTACACTCTATAGCCAGAAACTTAACCACCATGGGGAAACCTTGCCCTCAAATTTTAATTCAAATTAAATGAAAAGGTTAAAAGTGAACTTCTCAATATTTGATGAAAGTGTTCTTACCTGTTCTACATACCCCAGTGTCAAAACGAACCAACTCAAATGCAATATTTAGGAAAAAATGAGTATTTCATAGGACAATCTCCTGGATTCTCATTAAACTCAGCCCAAATTGACTGAGCACTGATCACACACCAGTTAGTGTTCTACAAGGAATAAAATGTTGCAAACACACAACATATAAACCAGGGTAAATATGCCTAAATGTAGCTAAAACATAATATTACCATGATAAAAAATAATAGTGCCCAGAGAGCACATAGGAAGGAATAATTATTCACCTTTGTAACTAGAAGGAATCTAGCACAGAGTACCTACCATTTTATTTGAGCCTGCTTATGAAAGAACAGAATTTCGAAAGGAATTCAAGTAAATGTGGCAAAATGAACTCTTCTATTTCCAGTTTTAGGCTTGGTAAACTTATTTTTAAGAATGAGTGAAATATATTCCTCTCCCTTCCCCACCAAAAAAAAAAAAAAATAGAGGGGATAATTGCAGATGTGTTGTAGGGGTTATCAGCATGTTTTTGTACATGAGAAGCTGATCAAGGAAACAGACAGAAGTGCCAAAACTCTGAATAGCAAGGTGCCAATGAGAAGAAGTAGCACATTCAGATGAAATGAAGGCTACAATTTAATGGCACTGTTTCACTAAAAATTAGAAATGATCATCTAGCGGTGTTTTCAAAGTAAACTTAATAATTGTTAACAGGCTAAGAAAAATTCATAAATTTACTGAAAGCAACCATCATGTCCAGTGATGGCTTTCTCATATTTCAATTAATATATAACTGCCAGAATGGATGTACAAACTCCTTTGAAACACAATTATATTAAGTGGAATCTAAATTAAATTTGATTCTAGCAAATTATAACCCACAATGTTGACTTATAAGAATATGTCATCATGATACTCTATCAGTTTACCTTTTAAAGTAATACGGGTTGATTTAGAAAATGGTGTAATACCATTATTCTTCATTTAAAATATAAATGTAGGTTCATCTTCATTGATGATAGCAGGTTTACAATAGATTTCAAGTCAAAAATTCAGATTGCTAACTATTCAGATACCTCGGGGGCTTGAAAAAAGCAAGCAAGCAAACAAACAAACAAACAAATCAAAACTGTGCCCTCTTCACTTTACCGGTCAGGAACCCCAAGACAGCCTCCCCTCTCCTCCCAGCCCTGCCCCTTCCTACCCTGTTTCAATACCGCAGCAGCCTCCTGAAGATAGGAAGTGAGAAGTGACATAGAAAGGAAGTGACGTGGCCGGGAAGTGACGCAGGTGGGAAGTGACACAGCCAAGATGTCTGTGGCCAACGGCGACGACTCTCTCTACCTCATTGCCACGCTCTTAGACGAGCTCCGCAACGAGGATGTTCAGCTACGCCTGAATAGCTTCAAGAAGCTGTCCATCATCGCCTTGGCCCTGGGGGCTGAAAGGACCCGCAGCGAGCTCCTGCCGTTCCTCACAGACACCATCTACTACGAGGACGAGGTCCTTGTGGCCCTGGCAGAGCAGCTGGGGACCTTCACCATGCTAGTGGGCGGCCCAGAGTATGTGCACTGCCTGCTGCCTCCGCTGGAGTCCCTGGCCACGGTGGAGGAGACGGTGGTGCGGGACAAGGCGGTGGAGTCCTTGCGGGTCATCTCCCAGGACCACTCTCCCTCGGACCTGGAGGCCCACTTCGTGCCATTGCTGAAGCGGCTGGCAGGCGGAGACTGGTTCACCTCCCGCAACTCAGCCTGCGGCCTCTTCTCGGTCTGCTACCCACGAGTGTCTGGTGCTGTGAAGGCAGAGCTTGGACAGTACTTCCGGAACTTGTGTTCAGACGACACCCCCATAGTGCGGAGGGCCGCCGCCTCCAAGCTGGGAGAGTTCGCCCAGGCGCTGGAGCTGAATTACGTCAAGGAGGAGCTCATCCCACTGTTCTGCAGCATCGCCTCTGACAAGCAGGACTCCGTGCGCCTGCTGGCAGTGAAGACTTGCGTGCACATAGCCCAGCTCCTGTCGCAGGAGGACATGGAGACTTTGCTGATGCCTGCACTGAGCCAGATTGCCGAGGACAAGTCCTGGCGCGTCCGCTACATGGTGGCCGATAAGTTCACAGAGCTCCAAAAAGCAGTGGGGTCTGAGATCACCAAGACAGACCTGGTCCCTGTCTTCCAGAACCTGATGAATGACTGTGAGGCTGAGGTGAGGGCTGCAGCTTCCCAGAAGGTCAAAGAGTTCTGTGAAAATCTCCCAGCTGACTGCAGGGAGAATGTGGTCATGACTCAGATATTGCCCTGCATTAAAGAACTGGCATCAGACACCAACCATCACGTGAAGTCAGCCCTGGCCTCGGTCATCATGGGCCTATCACCCATCTTGGGCAAAGACAACACCATCGAGCACCTGTTGCCCCTGTTCCTGGCTCAGCTGAAGGATGAGTGCCCTGAGGTGCGACTCAACATCATCTCCAACCTGAACTGTGTGAACCAAGTGATCGGCATCCAACAGCTCTCCCAGTCCCTGCTCCCAGCCATTGTGGAACTGGCTGAAGATGCCAAGTGGCGGGTGCGGTTGGCCATCGTTGAGTACATCCCCCTGCTGGCTGGGCAGCTGGGAGTGGAATTCTTTGATGAGAAACTCAACTCGTTGTGCATGGCCTGGCTCATGGATCATGTCTATGCTATTCGTGAAGCAGCCACTAGCAACCTGAAGAAGTTGGTGGAGAAGTTTGGGAAAGAGTGGGCCTGTGCTACTATCATCCCCAAGGTCTTGGCCATGTCTAGAGACCCGAACTACCTGTACCGCATGACGACACTGTTCTGCGTCAATGTGCTATCGGAAGTCTGTGGGCAGGACATCACCACTAAACTCATGCTGCCTACAGTCCTCAGTATGGCTGGGGACCCAGTTGCCAACATCCGCTTCAATGTGGCCAAGTCCCTCCAGAAGATTGGCCCCATCCTGGATAACAGCACACTTCAGAGCAAAGTCAGGCCCATCCTGGAGAAGCTGACCCAGGACCAGGATGTGGATGTCAAGTACTTTTCCCAGGAGGCTCTGACTGTTCTGTCTTCTACCTGATGCCAGAAGAGGAACCACTGCTAACCTCTGGTGTCCACCCTTTGATCCCAACAAATACCTCCCTGGGGAGTCAGTGGGGGTCATAGACAGCAGCTCTTTGTGCATGGTCTGACCCTAGATCCCTCTCCCCAGCAAAGTTCCTTCTCACCCAGCCTGAGAAGACTTTTCACTGTTCACTAGGGGAGTACAGGTGGGACAGGGCAGCAGCCTTGAGAGGAAGGGGCCTCCCTGCATGCTGAGGAAGAGATGTTTCCCAGGTCACTGGCTCCTGACGCTGTTTTGGGAAGCCCCCCTCTTGTGTCCTCTTCCCTTACTCTCATTGCCCCATGATAGTCTTCTTTCCCTTTCTTTTTTCTTTCTTTCTTCTCCTGTTTTATTACATTTTTCTTCTTTTCAAAGAGAAATAAAGTGCTAGAAATTAAAAAGATGCTTGTATCCGCTTCATGTTTCTTTTTCACAGCTCAGGCCAAAGAAGCAGCCCTATTTGGAACATATCTTTTTAATAGAGGGAAAAAAGAGAACTGAAGCAAAGCAATGCTTCTTAAAACTTCTGCTCACACATAGTACATACTGTGTTTGCTCAGATGCCATTTATTATGTGCCTTATAGACAAAAGGGATTATCCTCATACCACATAAAGTGCTGATACAGTAGGGCACTGACTCAGTTTGTGTCCTCTAACAAGAGACAGAGAATATACCTCGGGACGATAATATAATCTGCTACACTCTTCCTGAAATGAAACCAAACCAGCAAAAATACCACCTAAATTTCTTCTAAATATTGGAATATATGACAACACTATTAGTTTTTCACACAAAGAATTGTATCACATTTAAAATATGAAGTACTTGACAAACATTGAAATAAAAATGAAATATGTGTGGCTGTCATAATTATTTTAAGTTGTCATTCAATGCCAGAATGAAAATAAGAAATAGTGGAAATAATCACTCTTTGGTAAGTTATTTCTCTTGTTGCCTTTTACTACATTTAATTACTTTTTTCATGAAGGTTCTTTCTATACATGTACATTTTTATGATTACATTTTTTGTGGGCTATTTAGGGAAAATGAATTATTTTTCTATTTTTAATTTGTCATTAGTAAAAGCTACGTTAAACTCTATTATTTTCAGTTGAACCACATAAAGTTTGTAATTCCTTCAAGGATAGGTCCTTCGATGATCTTACTTTGTTTTTCAATATTTCTTCAGTAAGTACAGATAATACTCATAAAAACTGAGGCCTGGCTAGAAAACTTCTAGAGCATTTTCTATTTAACTGTTTTGTAAGCTTTAAAGCTGTAGCAGCTTGACCAGTTCAGCGTTGAGGCTGTGAAAAACTGAAGTTAAACCTTTGAGTTTTAGACAATAGAGCCATTTTAGTCATGAAACACTGTAGTACTTCTGGTTCAGTATTCATTTAATATTCTCCTTTGATATGGTTAAAATAACATTATTTAATATACTTTAGGAATACAGGTAAACAGGGAATTAACTTATTAGTTATGCTCACGAATAGACAAATCAACTGAATTTAGTGTAGAGGATGTTTTGGTTTTAGCTTAAGTATTACCAGCAATTGAGAATCAACATTGAAAAATTATTATAAGTTGTAAACAGCTCGAAAAGCATCCTTATGTAGTAAGGGTTTTGGACACATTGAAGATAGAGCAAGAGACGTATTTGTAGAATTCCAAATCAGACACTAATATTTTGTTTCTGATGCTCACTGTGGCAGCACGTATACTAATATTTTGCATTTCAACTTTAGAAATTTGGTAACCAGAAATAATAAATTAAATCATAGCAAAGTAGTTGAATAGCATCAGTAAATTTGAATTAATCTGTGACCATGCTTACGGTGGGTGGCTAACGTCAAGTTTACAGCAGATGCATGTGAGTGTGACAGTCTGATTGCTGAGTGAACTATAGTACACATTCATCGATTAGACAGGAGAGATATCAAGGGACAGGCAATGTCCATTTCAAGTTTTGTTGCAGCCCTAAGGAATGAAAGGGGTAATATGTAAGAGCGTGTGTGCTGAAAATTTGTTGAGATCACAGCAAATACCAGACAGAATGCTAAGTTCCTTTGTATGCCTCATTTGATGTAATCCCATCAGCCTCCCGTGAAGGGCTGTGATTTCTGTATACTTTTAAAAATATGAAAATTGGTTTAGAGAAGTGGAACAATTTTTGCAAAAACATAAGTTCAATAAATTTCAATGAAAATCATTAGACAGAAAAATTGTTTGCTGTTTATAGTTGTGAGATTATTACAGCAACACGAACTCCAGTGTAAGTCAAATTCAAGATCATTAAATCCTGGCAGGCTAGTCTTTTAATTTTTTAAAAACTGTAGACAGAGCACATATGTTTCTGACAACATCTGTCACTGACATGATAGTGGTGGTAAATCACAAAAGATGAATATATGGTATATTAGCCATTTTCTAGAAGTTAAAAAAAACATAATGGAAAGTAAATCTACAGAGCAGAGGCAACGGCATCCTGCTTTGTGAACAGAAAGGAATCTCAGTGTAATTTGTAACTGACAAGGGAACACGGTGGAAGTTAGGTTGGAAGAATGAAAGAAAATGAACAATGAGGATTCGTCCCCGAAAATCTTTCTCTAGTTTTCTCTCAGTGCTACACAAAGATGTGAAAGCAATGTAGTTCTTATCCAAGATTAAAAGAAAACCGATTTTACCTGGAGACTTTTTGTTCAATCACATTAACAAATGGGGATATCACTCTCCTTATTCCATTATTTTATTGGTCTGTACACAGATGCAAATCCCTTCCACAGTGTTGTTAAAGCAGAGTCTATAATGCATCAAACCATCAAATCACGTTAAAATTCCAATCATTTCCTTTCAAATAAAAATCCCTTAGTAAAACAAAGCAATAGTAGAGTACTCACACCAAGAACTTAGAGAACATAATGTGGTCCTCTTTGGATATGAAAAAGCTTAAAAATTAACAGATCTGCAACTAACATTACTCAACACTTTTAAAAATGGACCAACAGGAAACTAATTGTTTAGTTTAATGTGTATTCAGAGAATAAAAATGTCTCTTAGAATAAAGAGCAGTCACTCAAAAACGATGAAAAATGTAAAGAGAGAGAAAGGATGATACGGAAGATTTGACATATTATATACCAGGCAGGGAGATTGGACAGAACAACATTATCCTAAAAACATTGGGAAGTAAATTGAGGGGAAGGATAGATGAAAAGAAGATAATTGCTCATTCTGTTTTTTTTTGTGTGTGTTTTTGTTTGTTTGTTTTTTGTTTCCTGGTACCGGGGATCAAACTCAGGTCCTTGTGCTTACGAGGCAGGCAGCAGAACCACTGAGATGAATCTCCAGCCCAATAATTGCTCATTCTAATGGAAAGGCAGTTGTTTCCATTAAAAAAAAACCCACTTTTATATGTCTTACTTTATGGAAACTATTTGTTGCTTGATATAGAACAATTCTGCATTGCCAGTATTCTTGCATCTTTTTCAAAGTATATTTTTACTATCCTCTGGCCTTCACTACTTCTGAAAAAAAAAATCCCCTTTTTTAAAATACATGGAATGTTGATGTGTTTTTATAATTCCAGAACTCTTGGAGACTGAAGCAGGAGGATCACAAGTTTGTTTGAGCCCAGCCTGGGTGGTTTAGCATTTTAGCAAGACCTTGTCTCAAAATAAAATTTGTAAGACAAAACCAAAACAAAACTAAACAGTGAGAGATGTAGCTCAGAGTGAAGGTCCTGGGGTCCTGGGTCCAATCCTCAGTGCAAAGCAGGGGCTGGGGAGATTTTTCCTTGGTTTTGAGCAGGATGTCCACGATATTGATACACCTAAGTGCAATTTTCTCTGTACTCATCGTTTTAGGGATTCATTGACTTTTTTTTTTTAATTTCTGGTGTCTAAATGTTTACCATTTTTCATTTTTGAAAAATGCTTAACCTTATTTTCTATATGCTTTATCACTCTCTTCCTACATGAATCTCAGTTATGTAAAGTACGTCTGTTCAACCATGATTTTGTCTGAGACTACTGTGCATTCCTCTTCTGCAGTTCCCTTTGGATACTTTCTCTTGTCCCCAAGTTTACTTACACTTTTATTCCCTTGGATATGGTAAACATTTATCTCTGGTGTTATATATTTTCTTAGGTATGTATTGTTTCCATTTGATTTCTCCTGCTTCCAGACTCTTTGTTGAGAAACCTAAGATGCTCCCATGGATCTTTATCCCTCCTACAAGACACGTTAGCATAGGTTTAATAACAGCAACATCTGGTCCATCTCCTGTTCTGTTGCAGAGAAATGTTTCCTCTCTTAACCACTGTTTATATTTTGGTTCTATTTCTCATGCTTCAAAAATGTTCTACCAAAAGTCAAGTAAAAGAGCAGTAGAAAATATATGACATATTTATGCCTACCTGGAATTTGTACCATTCTATTTTTCAGGTTTCTAGTACTAAGTAAAGTAGCTTGATATACTCTTTTGTTTCTTCAGGTAGATTTAGTTCACAAGTGCCTTTGAGTTATCTGAGAATGGGATCAAAATCTTCCTTTCATAAATATTTGAAATCCTATAATCAAAGAAATCCTGCTTATAGTTTAAAACACAAATGCAGGTTTCATAAACAGGGAGAGATAGAAAAGTGCTTTAGAATCTGGCTACCAACTTTTCTAGGCAATTTGCTCCTTCTGTCCTGACACTTACACACTTTCTCTGCTTGTGTCTCTCTCATCTGCTGTATTTCTTTGTCCTAGCTTTGAATGCGGCGGCTTTTGTGAATGTCCAAATGTCTGAAAGCATTGTCCTCTCCACTCTCCTGATTTCTCACAGCCATAGCTGATCATGCACACCTCTGGACAGTCGTCGAACCTGTCAAAAGTTGTGCTTTGTAATGATGCACAAAATATAAAGGAAGAGACATAGGTATACAGCTATTATCATATATAGTGAAGAATTGAGAAATAATGTATAAATGACAAAAACCCAAAAGTGATGGTGATTTATGTATACTGGAATTTCTACTTGATTATGATTGAAGAATAAAGATGAGTTGTACCAGTGATTTTATATCTTTCAATTTATTTGAGCTTTTGTGAAAATATAACATGAATTCTGTGCAGTGAAATAAAGCATTTATATGCAAACATATGTCAGGAATGCCCTTGATATAGGTGCTGATACTTTGTATAATCACCAGCTGGTTTTTCATGGCAATAACTGTAAGTTTTGCTTCAACTTTCTATTGTAAAGAGGAATGTAATTAGAATGGCAGTACATATGAGTTGAGGTAAATA